CCACTGAGATGCCTGGAACATGTACAGGCAGTCCAGTGGGCTGCACTGTTCCCACAAAGGGAGTACTAGGGAATCGATGGTGCCCTGCTTGCAGTTGCACAAGATGCCTTCCATCCGTCTTGTTCATAGCTGGTTCGGCTGGTCTTGCATTGCATTCAGGCACATCTTCAGGCCCTTGATCCATGGCGGGCTGTATGGTTACATCATGTACTTTTACAAGGGGTATCTCCATACTCCACCCCCTGTCTTTGCACTGGTGCCGATATGCCGTTGACCGACTTCCAAACCAATTGGCACAGTTGGTGCATTGGAAAGGCTGGGATGAGTGTGGAGCTACATCCGGTCTGTAAATGATCTTCGGCGGTTTGGATGCCGCCTCCAGCGCATTCAACGACATGGCAAACTGGCTAATGTGACCAGTAAGAACGATCACAACGTGTATGAATACCAGAACCTTCACGATTGAATCAATTGTCGAGCTTTTAATGCTTCTACGCAAGCAAGCATTTGGTCCCGCCATGACAAAGGAGCATCCTATTCTATGGCAGGTTCTGGCCAGGATTTAAAAGATGCAATCAACAAAGTTTGGTAGCAACGAAACAACTTCCCAAATTTGAATTTGCAGCCATTTGAACGCCATGCTGTACACTTCCGGACCTAACAGGTCCGGAATTGTACGGCATTTCCCCTCTTGCTGCCCAGAAGTCTTGTGAACGTGGATAATTTGCAGCAACAATAAGAAACGTCACTGTGTTTAGCGTGATTGTTGTGAAAATGGCGCCATCTGTTACCTTTATGCAGATACGCGACCTATACTTACAGAAGAGACAGATAAGCCAACGTCTTAAACGTGAATTGTTTAACTTCACGTGTGAACTTGCACAGTGCCGCGCAGGAGAAACGTTCATAGTTATTGTCGATGGCGTCGAGTGGGTTGCTACAGTGCCACGTCGCACTAAGCCAGACGATATAGTGTCTATGACATTCTCGGCTGTAGTTGAAGGCACTGAGGTGCATAGGTCGCTTGTCGGAATGCTTGGTAGTGGTGCAAAGGAAGAGAGCCTCAAGAGGTACATCCGTGAAGGGTTGGCTTTACAGACCAGCGAATACAAGGAGCAAGTCAGAGACATGAGCCACGACGCCGCTCTGTCGTTCATCCTGGAACAAGTAAGACGCACCACGCCAGCTGAAGGTCAGATTGGGTGTGTGGACAACATGACATACCATTGGCCCATGCGGCCATGGACTCGACTATATGAGGTAAGCTACCTGCCTTTGTTCCGCCCAGGTTGTCTTAGCTGAAGCCAGGGTGCCTGCATGCATGCAGGTCATCAAGAACGCAGCAGCTTTGCCGCCGGCAGCTGTCGAGTTGGGGTTGCCGGGCAGCCAACACACTGCACGCAGCGCGGCTTTGTCTGAGCATGCCGCTTCAAGCTTCCCACTTCACCTCCGTGCTGCCAGTGTCATCACGTCACAGGCAGCCAGCGCGGCTGACAGGACCATGACAACGGTGGGTTTCCTGCTCCAGGGCTGGGCGGGGAGCGATAGGTATGGGCATCTTTGCAAACAGATTGTGTATGTTGCAGGGGAATGAAGAAGCTTTGAGGGCTGGCGAGGAGGTGGCGACCTCCGTGGGAGCTGAGGTATGTACTCATCTGGCACAAATGGATTAGGGGGGGGTCGTTGGATGGCAGCGTCAACCACGTTGGAGCACCGTTTCGTATAGTGGTGGACCCGGTGAAGCACGGCAGCACTGGTGACACATGCGAGTA